AATTCAGCCTGTGAACATGTGAGAGAAGGCTTCATGCTAATTCAGCCTGTGAACATGTGAGAGAAGGCTTCATGCTAATTCAGCCTGTGAACATGTGAGAGAAGGCTTCATGCTAATTCAGCCTGTGAACATGTGAGAGAAGGCTTCATGCTAATTCAGCCTGTGAACATGTGAGAGAAGGCTTCATGCTAATTCAGCCTGTGAACATGTGAGAGAAGGCTTCATGCTAATTCAGCCTGTGAACATGTGAGAGAAGGCTTCATGCTAATTCAGCCTGTGAACATGTGAGAGAAGGCTTCATGCTAATTCAGCCTGTGAACATGTGAGAGAAGGCTTCATGCTAATTCAGCCTGTGAACATGTGAGAGAAGGCTTCATGCTAATTCAGCCTGTGAACATGTGAGAGAAGGCTTCATGCTAATTCAGCCTGTGAACATGTGAGAGAAGGCTTCATGCTAATTCAGCCTGTGAACATGTGAGAGAAGGCTTCATGCTAATTCAGCCTGTGAACATGTGAGAGAAGGCTTCATGCTAATTCAGCCTGTGAACATGTGAGAGAAGGCTTCATGCTAATTCAGCCTGTGAACATGTGAGAGAAGGCTTCATGCTAATTCAGCCTGTGAACATGTGAGAGAAGGCTTCATGCTAATTCAGCCTGTGAACATGTGAGAGAAGGCTTCATGCTAATTCAGCCTGTGAACATGTGAGAGAAGGCTTCATGCTAATTCAGCCTGTGAACATGTGAGAGAAGGCTTCATGCTAATTCAGCCTGTGAACATGTGAGAGAAGGCTTCATGCTAATTCAGCCTGTGAACATGTGAGAGAAGGCTTCATGCTAATTCAGCCTGTGAACATGTGAGAGAAGGCTTCATGCTAATTCAGCCTGTGAACATGAGAGAGAAGGCTTCATGCTAATTCAGCCTGTGAACATGTGAGAGAAGGCTTCATGCTAATTCAGCCTGTGAACATGTGAGAGAAGGCTTCATGCTAATTCAGCCTGTGAACATGTGAGAGAAGGCTTCATGCTAATTCAGCCTGTGAACATGTGAGAGAAGGCTTCATGCTAATTCAGCCTGTGAACATGTGAGAGAAGGCTTCATGCTAATTCAGCCTGTGAACATGTGAGAGAAGGCTTCATGCTAATTCAGCCTGTGAACATGTGAGAGAAGGCTTCATGCTAATTCAGCCTGTGAACATGTGAGAGAAGGCTTCATGCTAATTCAGCCTGTGAACATGTGAGAGAAGGCTTCATGCTAATTCAGCCTGTGAACATGTGAGAGAAGGCTTCATGCTAATTCAGCCTGTGAACATGTGAGAGAAGGCTTCATGCTAATTCAGCCTGTGAACATGTGAGAGAAGGCTTCATGCTAATTCAGCCTGTGAACATGTGAGAGAAGGCTTCATGCTAATTCAGCCTGTGAACATGTGAGAGAAGGCTTCATGCTAATTCAGCCTGTGAACATGTGAGAGAAGGCTTCATGCTAATTCAGCCTGTGAACATGTGAGAGAAGGCTTCATGCTAATTCAGCCTGTGAACATGTGAGAGAAGGCTTCATGCTAATTCAGCCTGTGAACATGTGAGAGAAGGCTTCATGCTAATTCAGCCTGTGAACATGTGAGAGAAGGCTTCATGCTAATTCAGCCTGTGAACATGTGAGAGAAGGCTTCATGCTAATTCAGCCTGTGAACATGTGAGAGAAGGCTTCATGCTAATTCAGCCTGTGAACATGGAGAGAGAGGGCTTCATGCTAATTCAGCCTGTGAACATGTGAGAGAAGGCTTCATGCTAATTCAGCCTGTGAACATGTGAGAGAAGGCTTCATGCTAATTCAGCCTGTGAACATGTGAGAGAAGGCTTCATGCTAATTCAGCCTGTGAACATGTGAGAGAAGGCTTCATGCTAATTCAGCCTGTGAACATGTGAGAGAAGGCTTCATGCTAATTCAGCCTGTGAACATGTGAGAGAAGGCTTCATGCTAATTCAGCCTGTGAACATGTGAGAGAAGGCTTCATGCTAATTCAGCCTGTGAACATGTGAGAGAAGGCTTCATGCTAATTCAGCCTGTGAACATGTGAGAGAAGGCTTCATGCTAATTCAGCCTGTGAACATGTGAGAGAAGGCTTCATGCTAATTCAGCCTGTGAACATGTGAGAGAAGGCTTCATGCTAATTCAGCCTGTGAACATGTGAGAGAAGGCTTCATGCTAATTCAGCCTGTGAACATGTGAGAGAAGGCTTCATGCTAATTCAGCCTGTGAACATGTGAGAGAAGGCTTCATGCTAATTCAGCCTGTGAACATGTGAGAGAAGGCTTCATGCTAATTCAGCCTGTGAACATGTGAGAGAAGGCTTCATGCTAATTCAGCCTGTGAACATGTGAGAGAAGGCTTCATGCTAATTCAGCCTGTGAACATGTGAGAGAAGGCTTCATGCTAATTCAGCCTGTGAACATGTGAGAGAAGGCTTCATGCTAATTCAGCCTGTGAACATGTGAGAGAAGGCTTCATGCTAATTCAGCCTGTGAACATGTGAGAGAAGGCTTCATGCTAATTCAGCCTGTGAACATGTGAGAGAAGGCTTCATGCTAATTCAGCCTGTGAACATGTGAGAGAAGGCTTCATGCTAATTCAGCCTGTGAACATGTGAGAGAAGGCTTCATGCTAATTCAGCCTGTGAACATGTGAGAGAAGGCTTCATGCTAATTCAGCCTGTGAACATGTGAGAGAAGGCTTCATGCTAATTCAGCCTGTGAACATGTGAGAGAAGGCTTCATGCTAATTCAGCCTGTGAACATGTGAGAGAAGGCTTCATGCTAATTCAGCCTGTGAACATGTGAGAGAAGGCTTCATGCTAATTCAGCCTGTGAACATGTGAGAGAAGGCTTCATGCTAATTCAGCCTGTGAACATGTGAGAGAAGGCTTCATGCTAATTCAGCCTGTGAACATGTGAGAGAAGGCTTCATGCTAATTCAGCCTGTGAACATGTGAGAGAAGGCTTCATGCTAATTCAGCCTGTGAACATGTGAGAGAAGGCTTCATGCTAATTCAGCCTGTGAACATGTGAGAGAAGGCTTCATGCTAATTCAGCCTGTGAACATGTGAGAGAAGGCTTCATGCTAATTCAGCCTGTGAACATGTGAGAGAAGGCTTCATGCTAATTCAGCCTGTGAACATGTGAGAGAAGGCTTCATGCTAATTCAGCCTGTGAACATGTGAGAGAAGGCTTCATGCTAATTCAGCCTGTGAACAAACCGTGCCCATCCACAAGCCCTTTCTCACAATGTTTTGTTAGATAAATGTATCGTTAAGCCTTAAACCTATTTATTTCATTTTTTTTCACTGTTACTTTTAAATTTGATAACTGATATTTTATTGTTTTTGTTACATTTTCAAGTGTTTTTACTCCGTACATAATGTTTTACTTATTCTATTTGAACCCTAACCACCCCTGTATATTTAAATGTGTTACTTTCATCTCCGTGCAGCAGTTTTATGAAATGTGCCATCTAAATAAAGAGGATTGGACTGGATACTTGACCCAGCTGTTTTTCTTCTTGTAAATGGTTGATACAGTTCCCTGAATGTAAAATGGGAAGTTTGTGTCAAAATGTTATTGTAGCAGCACACATTTCAGTGGCTTTTGGTTGAGAGATCCACCGTGCTTCACTTTTCCATGTGAGAAAGCTGAACTGGCAACATAAGCTGAACTGGCAACCCCCCCTCAAAACGAGATGTTTCATCTCTAGGGGCTTATCCTCCAAACAAATAAATAAATAAAATAAAACATAAGCTGAACTGGCAACACAAGCTGAACTGGCAACACAAGCTGAACTGGCAACACAAGCTGAACTGGCAACATAAGCTGAACTGGCAACATAAGCTGAACTGGCAACATAAGCTGAACTGGCAACATAAGCTGAACTGGCAACATAAGCTGAACTGGCAACATAAGCGCCCAAGGGGTTGTGATAACAAGGGAGTTGATTGATGGATTTAAATATAGTATAAACTTGCTGCATTTACATTTTTAGAATCAAGTTCCCCAAATGTAAATGTACTAAAGCTTATAATTGCGTTGTATCAGTCTGGGAAAGAATTAATCCTGTAGTTTACAGACAGTGAGACTCATCAGCTGATGATAAAGAGTGGTTTCAGGAGAAAGTGAGCAGCTGATGTCACCATGAAAGCACATAAGGATTTACTCTTCAATTTGGTGAACAAATACAAATCTATGCCAAATACCCATCTACAAAGTGCCTGTGTTTGTCAAATTATGTCTATAGATAAGAATTATAGCTTATATATGGTTCACAGGATCAGTACTCCAATTAAATTAAAATGGTGAACAATGAATAATAAAAGTATACAATATTATACCTTGCTTCGGGACTACTGTTGGACAGTAGCTGTAGTACATATACAAATACTGGTACTTTTACAGTAATATTGATTAATGAGTCTAATTGCAGTCCCTTTTCAAATCAATACAATATTCAAAACGATACAGTAAAACCCTGGCAAAGAAAGTTCCTAGTTTGTGACTTTCTACAACTTACAATGACAGTAATAATTGTTTTGATTCTGATACAATACTTACATTACATTACGTTCCCCTAACCCTTCAAACAAACACAACAAGGCTGCTAGTTATTAACAAACACATGTCAATAATGTCAATAATCCAATTTAAACTTATCACCAATGGAACACGTCTTCATTCTGCTTTATACAAATCCATCGTCTGATTGATTCCCTGTCAATGGACGCGCAGTTATCCCTGAGTAAAGATGCTGTTCTTGACCAAAAAAACAAGACGAAAATGAAATGTACTTACCGAGAATCTTCCACCGCGGAGAGCCTCACGTCATGTCGTAGTTTCCAGCTTTTATTTGTCTTTCTGTTCCAAGTTTCCGAGTTCACGAACAACTCAGAGGTGCCGTGCTACTTTTCCAGGCAGCTCTTTTCATTCCAGCAGAAAGTCATGATGGAGGAGGCGTGTCTTTACCGCACTGTAGCCAATGAAGTGTCGGAAAGGCGGGGTGTAGAGTGCCCATAATAGCCAATCAGAGGACGGAGCGCTTTTTCACTGGAGGCTGTTCTGTGAGCGAGCTGTGGAGCGAAGAAGTCAATCCTATTCACCAAACATCAATAGTGTTTTAGGGCATGTTGTTGGAATGGATTCTTTACGTGTAACTCATGAGAAGAGATGACTGAAATACACAAACCCTAATACAGTGGGGCAAAAAAGTATTTAGTCAGCCACCGATTGTGCAAGTTCTCCCACTTAAAATAAAGACAGAGGTCTGTAATTTTCATCATAGGTTCACTTCAACTGTGAGAGACAGAATGTGAAAACAATCGGAGGCTGACTAAATACTTTTTTGCCCCACTGTATAAGCATGAACATTAATTACAATTTCCATTTTATTTTATAGGTTCGTGTGGGTTGACAAGTTTGCTAACCTGGCAAGAGCCAGATTGATGATTGTGTAGAACTCTAACGCGTTCTCCACGATATCAATCTGGGATTTCTCCCGGAGAATCCTTTCGGGGAAAGGAGGGATAAGCAGCAGAATACTTCAAGCTGATTGGGCGAAGTGACGCTGTGTGCCCGCCTACCAAGGTTGCCGTCCAGAAAGGCACAAAGCGCCTCTCGCTGTTCATCTTTCAAAAAAGAAATTGGAGATTCTGCTAAAACTGACTTGATAGCCTCAGCTACGCATCCGTCCTCCTGCGTAGCCATGTTTGTTTTGCTTCGGCCCGGCACTTCTTGCTTTCGTCAAACCCGGATATCCCGCCCTAAACCCCCAGACTGGCGCGTGATTGGCTCGCACACCCAGTGGTTCGACTCGAAAAGTGTAAGCGGGAGCGGTACAAGATGTATTCTCGAGTGTTTGTGAACTCACAAATACCGCGAGAATTCAGCTTGCAGGCAAGGTTACAAGTTTGCTGTGCCTTTGGAAATGACCCAATATCCCCTGATTGGTCAATAATAATAGTCATGAAAGTGAGAAGAACAGAAAGTCTGGTTTGCACTAGTGGACACATTAAACTACACATATCACGAAGTTGGGTGTCATATCGCGAAGTTGGGTGTCATATTGAGAAGTTGGGTGTCATATCGAGAAGTTGGGTGTCATATCGAGAAGTTGGGTGTCATATCGAGAAGTTGGGTGTCATATCGAGAAGTTGGGTGTCATATCGAGAAGTTGGGTGTCATATCGAGAAGTTGGGTGTCATATCGAGAAGTTGGGTGTCATATCGAGAAGTTGGGTGTCATATCGAGAAGTTGGGTGTCATATCGAGAAGTTGGGTGCCATATCGAGAAGTTGGGTGTCCTATCGAGAAGTTGGGTGTCATATCGAGAAGTTGGGTGTCATATCGAGGTAAAAGTTCTGAGGAAATTGTTGAGGAACTTAATTCTTTTTTTGTAAACATCGGGCCAGAATTGGCAGCAGAAATCAAACCAAATAATGTTAAACCTGTAGAAGAAACCCCGACCAACACAAACTGATTTTTTCTCACTGCAACAAATGAAAATGAAATAACCCTAACCCTACACAAGAACCAATTTGGCTTAAGAAAGAATAGATCCACTGAACTCGCTCTGATCTAATAGAAAACATAATCAATGACATAGACAAGAAAAAATATGTGATGGGGATATTCATCGATCTAAAAAAAGCATTCGATACCATTGATTACAACACACTAATAGCAAAAATGGAAAAAAAAATGTTTTAGAGGTATTGCATTAAATTGGATTAAATCATATCTAACTAATAGGAAACAATATCTACAAATAGGAGACCATAAATCTCCTTACAGGACAATCCTCTGCGGAGTTCCTCAAGGCTCTGTACTAGGACCTGTGTTCTTACTTTACATCAATGATTTATGTTTAATCTCTGAAAACATGGTTTGAAAATAATAAAATGTCACTTAACATTAAGAAAACAAAATGTATTATTTTTGGAAATAAAGATGTAAAATCTGACACTAAATTATTTATCGATAATATTGAAATTGAAAGAGTAAACTAATTTAAATTTCTGGGAGTGACTCTTGATAATAAGTTATGTTGGAAACCCCATATCACAAATATAAACTCAAAAAATGGCTAAAAGCAATTCTCTGCAAAGACATTTCCTGGACCAACATTCTCTGAACATATTGTATTCATCTTTAAGCCTTATTTGAGTTATGGGACCCAAGTTATGGGGACACTCTTACAAAACTAACACAGATCCACTTTTCAAATTACAGAAAAAAACTGTGAGAGTAATCCACAGGTTACTGTGAACACACTAATGTGCTTTTCTCAAATCCAAAATACTAAAGTTCATTGACTTGGTTCATTTTAAAACACTTCAACTATTGTATAAAGCAAGTGCATGTTCACTAACAGAGAAGGTAACTATCATTTAAGGAATAGTCAAAATTTCAAAAAACACTTTTCCAGGACAACACTGAAAAAAAATGTGTATTACCCAATGTGGAGTTTATGGAATGGTCCAAATGATGATTTAAAAAGCTGTGCAAATATCTCTGTATTCAAGAAGTTATACACACAATTAATTTACAAACAATATGCTGATCAAGGGTAAAACTGAAAGCTCAATTTGATTAAATTCCAAGGATTAAACTACACCAAGATCATCCTGTACCAAAATATGATTTAGCCTCTGGTGATCATTACAATCATAAAGTTAACCCTGAAAGAAATACATATAAAGACTTAAAATTTCACCATCACCAATAATTAGGATATCAACTTTTGTTGTATACTTGTATCTGTAAACACTCATATTTATAGAAATTGTCATTATATATTTCAATGTTACACATAATATATAGAAGCACCAACAGCTGTCACACAAAACACTGAATGGAGAAAGGGGGAGGAGTTTATAAGTCCCCACTTCATCCAACTCTTTTTTGAGCACTTTCAAGCACTCAGTACCGATTGATGTATTTGCTTATTCTTTAAATCAGTGTTTTTCAACCTTTTTTGAGCCAAGGCACTCTTTTTTCATTGAAAAAATCTTGTGGCACACCACCAGGAGAAAATGTAAAAATATATCCTCTGTAGCCTATTTTTACAATATAAAGTCATTCTTATCAAAGTGCTTAAATCCAGGCCTTGACATTAAGCTTGGTTTAGTATTTCTCAATACAATGAGTTAACAAGAGTTTGGGAATAAAGCGGCACTAACTGTGGGGAAAGAAAACATACAAAAATCCACTCTCAGCCCAAAAAGTCAAATAATGACTCAGAGGGCTCTTTTGTGTGAAAAATAATGATTAAGAAAATGCCCTGCTGTGTGTTCTGTTTGATTTGTTCACAACATTTTACTTTTTTGCTCAAATAACATCAATTTTTAATGCATGGGGAAAATTTAGGTATCCGAGCTTTAAATTCAGGAGTTTTGCGCTTTTTCAAGAGACACCGGAGAGACTCGGGGAGAAACAGGAGATGATCCTGAACACGAGTCAAGGACCGCGCAGATGGTAATGTCCGTGACTCCATGGTTCTGTCCGCGACTCCATGGTTCTGTCCATGACTCCATGGTTCTGTCTGCGACTCCATGGTTCTGTCTGCGACTCCATGGTTCTGTCTGCGACTCCATGGTTCTGTCCATGACTCCATGGTTCTGTCCATGACTCCATGGTTCTGTCCATGACTCCATGGTTCTGTCCATGACTCCATGGTTCTGTCTGCGACTCCATGGTTCTGTCCATGACTCCATGGTTCTGTCCACGACTCCATGGTTCTGTCCGCGTGACTCCATGGTTCTGTCCACGACTCCATGGTTCTGTCCATGACTCCATGGTTCTGTCCACGACTCCATGGTTCTGTCCGCGTGACTCCATGGTTCTGTCCACGACTCCATGGTTCTGTCCGTGACTCCATGGTTCTTTCCGCGACTCCATGGTTCTGTCCGCGTGACTCCATGGTTCTGTCCGCGTGACTCCATGGTTCTGTCCGCGTGACTCCATGGTTCTGTCCGTGACTCCATGGTTCTGTCCGCGTGACTCCATGGTTCTGTCCGTGACTCCATGGTTCTGTCCACGTGACTCCATGGTTCTGTCCACGACTCCATGGTTCTGTCCGTGACTCCATGGTTCTGTCCACGTGACTCCATGGTTCTGTCCACGACTCCATGGTTCTGTTCGTGACTCCATGGTTCTGTCCGCGACTCCATGGTTCTGTCCGTGACTCCATGGTTCTGTCCACGTGACTCCATGGTTCTGTCCACGTGACTCCATGGTTCTGTCCACGTGACTCCATGGTTCTGTCCACGTGACTCCATGGTTCTGTCCATGATTCCATGGTTCTGTCCGTGACTCCATGGTTCTGTCCGAGCGACTAGGGTCTGCGTGCGGCTCCATGTTACGGATGTGTGTTCGCTGAGCTGTTGTCAAAGCGGCTGTCAGTACAAAACGGGCCACAGCTGCCCCGGGGTCAGAGCGGAGGATGTGAATCCTGTTCAGAAAAGGCATAACTCCTTTTCAAAAACGTCCCAATCACTTTCACTTACCAAAATTCTCCCCTGACGTTGGTTGGTCGCGTCCAATTCGTACATTTCTCGCCACAATGCTCCCCGCGCATTTGGTGGTTGCATCCAATTCTTACATTTCAAAGTACTATCAGCTATCTGCTGCCACCTACTGATATATAAAATTATTACGTGGTTACTCCACAGTCAGCGCTCGCCAATAGTGAATGCAGTTATTTTTAGACAAAGTTGGCGAATTTCTCACGGCACACCAGCAAATTTCTCACGGCACACTAGTGTGTCGCGACACAGTTGTTGAAAAACACTGCTTTAAATCATTATTCTGTGTATGTATGTAACATGCTCATACTAAGATTGCTCAAATAAAAAAATAAAAAAATAACTACCTAACTGGGTGTCATATCGAGTAGTTGGGTGTCATATCGAGAAGTTGGGTGTCATATCGAGAAGTTGGGTGTAGAAGATGGGTGTCATATCGAGTAGTTGGGTGTCATATCGAGAAGTTGGGTGTCATATTGAGAAGTTGGGTGCCATATCGAGAAGTTGGGTGTCATATCGAGAAGTTGGGTGTAGAAGATGGGTGTCATATTGAGAAGTTGGGTGTCATATCGAGAAGTTGGGTGCCATATCGAGAAGTTGGGTGTCATATCGAGAAGTTGGGTGTAGAAGATGGGTGTCATATTGAGAAGTTGGGTGTCATATCGAGAAGTTGGGTGTAGAAGATGGGTGTCATATTGAGAAGTTGGGTGTAGAAGATGGGTGTCATATCGAGAAGTTGGGTGTCATATCGAGAAGTTGGGTGCCATATCAAGAAGTTGGGTGTCATATCGAGAAGTTGGGTGTAGAAGATGGGTGTCATATTGAGAAGTTGGGTGTCATATCGAGAAGTTGGGTGTAGAAGATGGGTGTCATATCGAGAAGTTGGGTGTAGAAGATGGGTGTCATATCGAGAAGTTGGGTGTCATATCGAGAAGTTGGGTGCCATATCAAGACGTTGGGTGTCATATCGAGATGTTGGGTGTAGAAGATGGGTGTCATATTGAGAAGTTGGGTGTCACATCGAGAAGTTGGGTGTAGAAGATGGGTGTCATATTGAGAAGTTGGGTGTAGAAGATGGGTGTCATATCGAGTAGTTGGGTGTCATATCGAGAAGTTGGGTGTCATATTGAGAAGTTGGGTGCCATATCGAGAAGTTGGGTGTAGAAGATGGGTGTCATATTGAGAAGTTGGGTGTCATATCGAGAAGTTGGGTGTAGAAGATGGGTGTCATATTGAGAAGTTGGGTGTAGAAGATGGGTGTCATATTGAGAAGTTGGGTGTAGAAGATGGGTGTCATATCGAGTAGTTGGGTGTCATATCGAGAAGTTGGGTGTCATATTGAGAAGTTGGGTGCCATATCGAGAAGTTGGGTGTAGAAGATGGGTGTCATATTGAGAAGTTGGGTGTCATATCGAGAAGTTGGGTGTAGAAGATGGGTGTCATATTGAGAAGTTGGGTGTAGAAGATGGGTGTCATATTGAGAAGTTGGGTGTAGAAGATGGGTGTCATATCGAGAAGTTGGGTGTCATATCGAGAAGTTGGGTGCCATATCAAGAAGTTGGGTGTCATATCGAGAAGTTGGGTGTAGAAGATGGGTGTCATATTAAGAAGTTGGGTGTCATATCGAGAAGTTGGGTGTAGAAGATGGGTGTCATATCGAGAAGTTGGGTGTAGAAGATGGGTGTCATATCGAGAAGTTGGGTGTAGAAGATGGGTGTCATATCGAGAAGTTGGGTGTCATATCGAGAAGTTGGGTGTCATATCGAGAAGTTGGGTGCCATATCAAGAAGTTGGGTGTCATATCGAGAAGTTGGGTGTAGAAGATGGGTGTCATATTGAGAAGTTGGGTGTCATATCGAGAAGTTGGGTGCCATATCGAGAAGTTGGGTGTCATATCGAGAAGTTGGGTGATGATGGAGGAGGTCAGTGATGGAGGACATGTATGTAATCTTTATTTATAAACCGCCTTTTCACTGCACATCGGAGTCTCAAAGCGGTTTACAATTGTTATTTTTGGGAGTGGGGCCAGTACAGGAGGCACATGCCAGACCTATTGTACATATTTTTAGTGGTAGGGGAAACCGGAGCACCCGGAGGAAACCTACGCAGACACGGGGAGAACATGCAAACTCCATTCAGAAACATACAGAGAGACACACATATTCAAAGAGAGAGACACACACCTTTAAAGAGAGAGACACACACACACGACAGCAGTACAGTGAAGTAAAGTGACGTATGATGGGCAGTAAAGTGACTTTATAAAGGGCGGGGGGACAGGTTAAGAAGTGTTCAAGAGTCCAACAGCAGAGGGGAAGAAACTGTTCTTGTGGCGGGAGGTTCTAGTCCTGATGGACCGCAGCCTCCTGCCTGAGGGGAGTGGTTGGAATAGTCCATGTGCAGGTGAAAGGGGAGTGGTTGGAATAGTCCATGTGCAGGTGAGAGGGGAGTGGTTGGAATAGTCCATGTGCAGGGTGAGAGGGGAGTGGTTGGAATAGTCCATGTGCAGGTGAGAGGGGAGTGGTTGGAATAGTCCATGTGCAGGGTGAGAGGGGAGTGGTTGGAATAGTCCATGTGCAGGTGAGAGGGGAGTGGTTGGAATAGTCCATGTGCAGGTGAGAGGGGAGTGGTTGGAATAGTCCATGTGCAGGTGAGAGGGGAGTGGTTGGAATAGTCCATGTGCAGGTGAGAGGGGAGTGGTTGGAATAGTCCATGTGCAGGTGAGAGGGGAGTGGTTGGAATAGTCCATGTGCAGGTGAGAGGGGAGTGGTTGGAATAGTCCATGTGCAGGGTGAGAGGGGTCGGCTGTGATACGACCAGCCCGGCCTCGAGCTCGGGCGACGTACAGGTCCTGCAGCGATGGAAGGCTGCGGCCGATCACTTCCTCTGCAGAGCGCACAATGCGCTGTAGTCTCTGTTTGTCCCTGACTGTGGCTCCAGCGAACCACACGGTGATGGAGGAGGTGATGGAGGAGGTGATGGAGGAGGTGATGGAGGAGGTGATGAGGAGGTGATGGAGGAGGTGATGGAGGAGGTGATGGAGGAGGTGATGAGGAGGTGATGGAGGAGGTGATGGAGGAGGCGATGGAGGAGGCGATGGAGGAGGTGATGGAGGAGGTGATGGAGGAGGTGATGGAGGAGGTGATGAGGAGGTGATGGAGGAGGTGATGGAGGCGGTGATGGAGGAGGCGATGGAGGAGGCGATGGAGGAGGGGATGGAGGAGGTGATGGAGGAGGTGATGGAGGAGGTGATGGAGGAGGTGACGGAGGAGGTGACGGAGGAGGTGATGGAGGAGGTGATGAGGAGGTGATGGAGGAGGTGATGGAGGAGGTGACGGAGGAGGTGATGGAGGAGGTGATAGTCAGAACTGCACCAACATCTGTGCAGGCAGCTTGGTTTGCTTCGGCTGCCGTGAGACGCGCATGCGCAGATTTGCATTACCGCATTCATTACATACAATCATACAGCAGTGTATCATTGCTGCAGGACCTGTACGTCGCCCGAGCTCGAGGCCGGCTCTCCCCTCTCTCCCTGCACTTGGACTATTCCAACCACTCCCCTCTCACCCTGCACTTGGACTATTCCAACCACTCCCCTCTCACCTGCACATGGACTATTCCAACCACTCCCCTCTCACCTGCACATGGACTATTCCAACCACTCCCCTCTCACCTGCACATGGACTATTCCAACCACTCCCCTCTCACCTGCACATGGACTATTCCAACCACTCCCCTCTCACCTGCACATGGACTATTCCAACCACTCCCCTCTCACCCTGCACATGGACTATTCCAACCACTCCCCTCTCACCCTGCACATGGACTATTCCAACCACTCCCCTCTCACCCTGCACATGGACTATTCCAACCACTCCCCTCTCACCTGCACATGGACTATTCCAACCACTCCCCTCTCACCTGCACATGGACTATTCCAACCACTCCCCTCTCACCCTGCACATGGAATAGAGTCCGCAGTGAAAGCTCTAGTGTGCACAATCTGTGTTTTGTTGCTGTTTGTCTTTGAGTCACTTGCCACTGTGAAGTATGACCGAGAGGCGCTAGGGTTAGAGGTGCCTAACCCCACGTTTAGTCAGAGGCCAAATGGCACTGACTGAACGTGGTCAACTAGTTTCCCTCCAGGTGCTCCGGTTTCTCCTACCATTAAAAACATGTACAAGTGCTTTTGTGGTTACTGTGGATTTTTGTTTTGGATATTTCAAATCAAATGATTGTGACAGAATCAGTGAAGTCTCCTCAGGGATGTATTTTGAGTCCTTTGCTCTTTACTTTGTACACTCACGATTGTGTGTCCTCCTCTGACTCAAACTTGATCATCAAATATGCTGATGACACCACCATCATCAGTCTCATCAGTGACAATGATGAATCCTCTTATAGAGCAGAGATACAAAATGTGGTTCAGTGGAGTCAAACTAACAACCTCCAGTTGAACGCATCCAAAACATGTGAACTGGTCTACGACTTCAGTCGCAATAGTTCTCATTTGCCTGTCGTAATCGACAACTCCCAGGTGCAGATCGTAGAGGAGTGCAAGTTTCTGGGTTTAACTCTGTCTAACCTGAAATGGGTTAAAAACACTGACCGAGTCGTTAAGAAAGCTCGTCAGCGTCTCTACTTTCTGCGGAAACTTAGATAATTTACCACTAACTCTAAGATTGTGCTTAACTTTTATGGCTGCACCAATGAGAGTTTACTTGTTGGTTCTGTGTCTGTGTGGTTTGGAAACATCACAGATAAAGAAAAGAGAGCTTTAAACAAGGTGCTCCGCTCTGCAAAGAGGACCGTGGGCTGTGAGCTTCCTGTTCTGGAGGTTCTTTATCAATCCAGATATTACGTGCCAGAATGTCCAGGGTAGCACGTAACGTATATAGTGAATAACCGGGTGTGGGATGACGAAGGATGAAGGTGAGAGGTCGTAGATTAGGAGTAAAAAATAGTAAGTTTATTACACAAAACTCAGGATCTCATAATAAACAAATAAACTACTAGCAGAAATGTGCAGAAACAAAGGTGCAGTAGGACGCAGACGTCAGCCCTCATCTGGGCCAGGGGCCTTTTAGGCCTGGGCGGATTGGCATCCAGCAGGTGCCAATCATCAGCCAATGGGTGGTGCGGAGGAGGCACAGAGCTGAAGGGGGTGGAGGCAAGGAAAAGTACAAACCACAAGGCTCATAACACCTCCCCCCATAAAACAAAACCCCCAGAAGGCTAAAACTAGAGAGGTCAATTAACCAAAATCAAACAAGTACACAGTACAAAACCCACTGGCTATGGACGAGCCACAGAGCAATAACTATCATAGTGTGTACAGTGCATTAAAAGGATAGGGGTCCCCACCACCACACATTGAGTGGTGATGACGAACTGTAGACTACAATATCACAAAGTATTCACATGTCGGTCTGCCATGGAAAAGGATATTGCTGCCCATCACCACTTGCAACTCAAGCGGTGATGGATGTCCTCAGTCTCGCGATAGGGCATCAGCCACAATATTTTCCTTCCCCTTCTTATGTTGGATGGTGATGTTGTACTCCTGGGCGAGCAGGGCCCACCGCATCAGCCGCTGGTTCTGGTTATACATCTGCGCCAGGAATACAAGGGGATTGTGGTCTGTGAACACCGAGACTGGGACATTAGTAGACCCGACATAAACATTAAAGTGCTGGAGGGCTAGGAGCATCGCCAGAGTCTCTTTCTCAATGGTGGAGTAGTTGAGCTGGTGCTTCTTGAACTTCGCCGAAAAGTAGGATACAGGATGAGGGACCCCAGCGTCATCATCCTGTGTGAGCACAGCACCAGCTCCAGTAGCACTAGCGTCCACCTCCAGGCTAAACGGCTTGGTATAGTCCGGTGCAGAGAGGACAGGAGCACTGCAGAGAAGAGACTTAGCAGCCAGGAACGCACTTTCACACTCTGCAGTCCACAGGAAAGGGACAGCAGGACTGCACAGGGCAGTGAGTGGTGAGAAGAACAGAGAAGTTCTTGCAAAAACACCGATAGTAACCCGCTAACCCTAAAAAACGGCGCAGTTCCCTACGGCTGGTAGGTGGAGGGTATGCCAGCACAGCCTCAACCTTTGCGTCCACAGGCCTCACTTGTCCAAGGCCAACAACCTTCCCAAGGTAGGTGACAGAGGCCTTGCCAAAATCACATTTCGCCAAGTTCAGCGTTAGATTGGCTTTGGACAGACGACAAAATACCTCAGACAGAGTCTGGACATGGTCAGGCCAAGTATCTGAGTAACACACAATATCATCCAAGTAGACATTACACTTAGGAACATCACTCAGGACTATATGCATTAAGCGCTGAAAAGTGGCAGGCGCATTCCTCATGCAAAAAGCCATGACCGCACACTGCATGAAGTGGTCAGGGGTCACAAATGCAGAAACTTCAGACGCTCTGGCTGTCAGGGGAACCTGCCAGTAGCCCTTTAAGAGGTCCAACTTGGTAATGTGCACGGCAGGGCCAATATTGTCAATGCAGTCTTCCATCCGGGGTAGAGGGAACGAGTCTGCTACTGTCACAGCATTGACTTTCCTAAAATCTGTGCAAAAACGAAGAGTGCCATCTGATTTGGGAGCAAGGAGGCATGGAGAACTCCAGGGGCTATGGCTAGGTTTAGCAAGGCCATTGGTCACCAGGTAGCTAACTTCCTTCTTCATGGCCTCCCGCTTGGTCATAGGGCAGCGATAGGCATGCTGCTTGATGGGGAATGCAGAGCCTACATCTATGTCATGCTCCAACAGAGAGGTACGAGACGGTGTGTCACCAAACAACGACGGGTAGGCCCGTAAAAGAGCCAGAATGTCCTTGTACTGATCCTTACTGAGATAAGCCAGATTGGCGCCTAAACTGGACATATACTCAGAGTTTGATAACCTTCCACTCTGTTGTGCAACACACGGCTCTCCTAAATCCTCAAGACTCTCCGAACACACGGCTGACACAGAGGGCACAGCTAGCATAGACTGTGCTGGCCTGTGCTCCCCCCTTACAAGGAGAGGCTTCAGCATGTTGACATGACAAAGTCTAGTCTTCCTTCTCCGCTCCGGGGTAGCGATAAGGTAGTTTGTGTCGGACACTTTCCTCTCAATAACATAGGGACCAGAGAAACGGGCCGAAAGGGCAGAACCAAGGGTTGGGAGTAACACCAGGACTTTATCCCCAGGACTGAAGTGCCGAATCACTGCCTTTCTGTCGAATCGCCTTTTCATTCCAGCCTGGGAAGAGACGAGCGCTTCCCTAGCCAACGCGGTAGCCCGCTGTAACCGCTGCTTACAGTCTGACACAAAATCCGATGCACTCCTAACCGACTTCGGCATGGTAAATAACTGTTCCTTAAGCACTTTAAGTGGCCCACGCATGCCGTGACCAAAAACAAGTTCAGCGGGGCTGAACCCGAGGGATTCTTGGGTAGCATCCCTAACAGCAAATAACATGAAAGGAACACCCTCATCCCAGTCCTTCCCTGTCTCAAAACAGAACTTGCTCAGCACAGATTTCAGCGTCTGGTGCCACCGTTCCAACGCACCCTGAGACTCTGGGTGATAAGCGCTGGCCACAGAATGAGCAACCCCGAACGACTGCAGGGTCTCCTTGAAGACTTTAGACAGGAAGTTAGTTCCCTGGTCAGTCTGTACAACCCTAGGCAGACCAAAGGTACTAAAAAACTTTGTAACAGCTTTAACAATTGAAGGGGCCGTGATTCTGCGCAGAGGGATCGCCTCAGGGAAACGAGTGGCAACACACATAATGGTTAACAAGAACTGATTACCCATCTTGGTTTTTGGTAAAGGGCCAACACAGTCCATAATTACATGCTCAAAGGGTTCCCCAAGGGCAGGCACAGGGCGCAGGGGAGCCGGCGGTACCACCTGATTTGGTTTCCCAACGGACTGGCAGGTAATGCAGGTCTTACAGAAAGCAACCACATCAGCCTTCAGACCTGGCCAAAAGACATGTTGGAGAACGCGGTCATAAGTCTTGGTAACACCAAGATGGCCGGACCACAGGTGTTCATGCGCCAGAGACAATACATGGTGCCTGTAATTTTTGGGAACGACTATTTGGAAAATAGTACACCAGTCATTAGTGTCAGCGTTACCTTCCCGAGGGACCCACTTGCGCATCAATACACCCTCATCAAGAAAAAACCGAGTCTGGCCAGCTGGGTTGTCTAAAACAGAAAAACATTTGGTCAAAGTCTCATCACACTTTTGAGCTCCAATCAAAGCGTCACTGGTGAGTGGAGGGGACATAGCGGTGGTTGACTTCTCACTGCTGGCCTTCTTCCTGGCGTGGTCATCAGGTCGTCCAAACGGGGGCGCACGAACACCGGAGAAGACAGGAGCAAGCACAGAATCATACAGATCAACATCACCCTGTTCCTCTGCCAACTTTTTAGACTGGGCGCGGGTCAACACACACACTGAAAACATCTCGGGGTGTTCCTCAGCCAATTCATCCTTCCCAGTGCTGAGAATGGGGCGAGAAACCACTTCCGGAGAGGGATACACTTCCCCACCTGCGATATCATTCCCCATAATAAACTCCACCCCGTCAATAGGAAACTGGTCGCGCACAGCGACAGGGAAAACTCCACTAACCAAGTTTGACTCAATGTAGACATTATGCAGTGGTGCGGGCACATAACTAAGGCCGATCCCCTTCACTATTGTGCTTAGATGACAGTCTGTCTGCGGGCCCAGAGGCAGGACACCCGAGAGAATAAACAACTGGGAGCCACCCGTGTCACGCAAAACTTTAACAGAACGCTTAACCTCTCCTGGGACGGAAACAAACGCCTCAAAAATGAAGGGCTTAAAACAGTCATCACACTCTGAAATGGGAGAACAAACAGGCCTCACATTAGTATGAATAGCAGCTGGGATCGTCTTGATAAGCGCTACACTTTTCGGTTTAGATGTGGGCTGCTGTTTGCGCTTTAAAGCGTCACAATCCGCGACGATATGACCACTTTTATGACAAAAGAAACACTGCTTTGTCCGCTCAGGCCTTGAAGTAGTCGCAGGACTAACGGGGATCCTCTCCTCAGACTTGGGAAAAGGTTCACGCTTAAAAACAGCCTTGTGGGTGAGAGAGAACTCATCAGCTAACACAGCCGCCTGCTGGAGCGTGGCCACTTTTTGTTCATTTAAATACACAATAAGGCGCTCAGAAAGACAGTTCAAGAGCTCTGGTGTGTGTCGTCTTCTGGTGCACACCGGGGTAGTCTTGCACAGTTTTCCAATGTGGTTTTACTGCAAATGGCAAATAAATGAATCTGAATCTGAGTTCTTAAATTCTTCAATAAGAAATAGTTCCCGCAGCGCCTCAAAAGTACCCGCTTTACTTGCAGAGCACCACCTGTCAAACAGCAGCCCCTTCTCACGGGCAAAATCCACAAAACTCTGGTTATATGATTTTCGAAGCCCTCTAAAACGCTGCCTATAGGCCTCGGGCACCAGCTCATACGCACGCAAAATAGCACTTTTTAGACAGTCATAGTTCAAACTGTCCGATACTGACAAAGACGCGCATGCTTCGGAGGCCTTGCCACTCAATTTAAACTGTAATAAAATTGCCCATACATCTCTAGGCCAGTGTAAGGCGCTCGCAATACGCTCAAAAGCACCGAAATATGACTCAACTTCGGACTCGCGGAAAACCGGGACAAGTTGAATGTTCTTTGTCACGTCAAATGAGTCACACGCACTGGCCGTAACAGGCGAAAATGGAGCTGAACCGCGACCCGATGCCTGCAGCTCCAATTGCCTCATACGAAACGCAGTGTCAGCTTCTAACCTTCTAAACTCAACCTCGCGAGCAGTGGCTGCCTCCAGCTCAATGCGCTTTAACTCGAGCTCACGCTTGAGCTGGAAGTCACGCTCTCTCTCCTCTCTCTCGTTTTTGAGCCGCGCAAGGCGCACATCCAAGCGCACATCCAAGCGCACATCACGAGGAGAATGCACACTCAAAGTAGGAGACAAGACCCAAACCTTTTCCTCAGCCTCCCCAAACAAATCCGCGCTCTCCCCAAGACGCACGGGGGACGCCACTGCGCCTCCCGCGGTCACTCCTTGTTCCAGATCGCTCGACTCGGGCAAAACCAAAACTTCACTGGCAACCAAACCTGCCAACACAGCCTCCCTTAACTCTCCCACGCGCAATGTAACCGACACGGGGATTTCATAGTGCCGGGCAATCTCCAATAAGTCAACTTTTCTACACGAATCCAACACATCACTAGTTGGCTCAGCCACGAAAGCACCCAAGTCAAACGTAGCCATATCACTCACCAAAATCACCAATCCAGGCCACAGCCGATCCCACTCACGGCCAGGCTACACCTGCTGACACTTTGCCAATCCACACTCCACCAGGAATGTGCCGTGCGCACGCTTCTGACACAGCCGCGCGCAACCCACACACACTAACCACACACACGCCAGGGACAAAAAGACGAGCTCACGCAGGGCGCACTGATCACATAGAAACCCAAACCAGTTTAAACAAATGGTACCCAGACTCCTAACCAGGAAACTCTACGCCTAACTGTCTTCTGGGGTTTGCCGAGCTCGAGGCGTGCAGCCCCCGCCAGAGAATTCACTCCGCCCGGGATTCGCCCCGAAAATAACAAACTAAAACAAAAAACGGATGCCCGAAGGAATGACGAGTAAATCGGCCAAGCTGGACACCCCCCTAGTCTAGCTGGGTCACCAATGTACAGTGGCTGAGCAAGCGCCCATACACAGCTCAACTCACCCAGAGCGCACGCACCCACGAACACTCACAGACGTCTGGTACAACGTCAGGATCCCGGACGAGCCCCCAACTATTACGTGCCAGAATGTCCAGGGTAGCACGTAACGTATATAGTGAATAACCGGGTGTGGGATGACGAAGGATGAAGGTGAGAGGTCGTAGATTAGGAGTAAAAAATAGTTTATTACACAAAACTCAGGATCTCATAATAAACAAATAAACTACTAGCAGAAATGTGCAGAAACAAAGGTGCAGCGTAGGACGCAGACGTCAGCCCTCATCTGGGCCAAGGGCCTTTTAGGCCTGGGCGGATTGGCATCCAGCAGGTGCCAATCATCAGCCAATGGGTGGTGCGGAGGAGGCACAGAGCTGAAGGGGGTGGAGGCAAGGAAAAGTACAAACCACAAGGCTCATAACACCAGACTTTTAAACAAAGCTCTTAGGATTGTTAATGACTCTTCTGGCCACCCTGGGAAAGCCATGTTCCAGCTTCTTCCCTCTGGCAGAAGATATCGTTCTCTGAGATGCAGGACATCTCGTTACGCTAACAGTTTTTATCCACAAGCTGTTATCAGTGTGAACAGAGCACTTTAATGATTTGCACTTGTTTTGAAACTGTTTTAGTCGATCCATTTCACAGTGACTTTTGTTTACTGTTTTATTTGTTTTATTTCTGTCTTTTAATGTTGTTTTATGTCTGTATTTGTCTGTGCACACTGGAGACTTTTTGCTAATTGTAACCCAGTGTTAAAAACGTGATTAAAAATAATATTACTGATTAAAATTTCATAATTAATATTGACAAAAAGAATATAAATATAAATTGATAAATATCGTTAAAAAATCATTTTAAAAAGACGGAAAAAATATATTTGGTTGACACCCCGAGCAGCCAATTGCGCTATAGTATAAAGTCATCATTAGCCAATAAGGTCAAGTCTCCTCTCCTAACCTCTACGTCCTCTGTACGTGCTCGTCAGACATGCCAGAGACGCAGACAGAGAGAGACCTTGTACCTGCTCCGGGGAAGCTAACGTGTTAGTAGCAGCCTTTTTGGTGAAAATACACGGTGATAGGTAAGCAAAAACCAACCCAAACTAAGCAAAACATTGCAATATACAGATTAATGACAATTCGTTTTATTAAATTTAAGATACTGAGTCCCAAAGGCTGTGAACCCACGCTAGCTGGGAGACCCTGTGTCCCACGTGGATGTAGCATGGTGAGTGCCATTCATTGTGTATGGGGGCTAGTTAGCATGCTAATCTCCGAGTGGTATCTCCGCTAGCTTTTTCACTACGAAAATGCACTTTTTAGAGGTAAATAGGTTAATCCAAGGCCCCAATTCATTTGATACGAAATACTATTTCAAGGTTTATGCAAAGTCAATTGTGTAGAGGTGTAAAATGCCGTTTTTTGGTGCAAAATAGTTAATTTAGCACATGCTAATTTTTATCCTGGTGGTGCTAATGTGGGTTAGCCACTATGAAAATGTTTAGTGTTAATGTCAAGTGCTGGTACATGCACTTTGCCTGTTTTTTTGAAGGTTTTTCTGTTTTAAAAAGTGAGAAATGTTTATTTTATACACTTAAAGCCTGTGAGTGTAAATTTTGAGTTTAAAGTGTACTTGCTATACACTTTTGAGAGAAACTATTTTTGTTACTAAATGTAAACTAATGTAGATTTGGTTTATTTTTTTATTTAGTAATACTGGAATTGTAATGTTGTACAACTGAAGATATTTTGAATAACTTTAAAAAGCTTAATTAGTAACTAGTCTGTATAGAACATAATTTAAGCTATTGTCTGACCTGTTTCCAGGTCAGGTTTTTTGTGTGGATCCATTTCAAGAAGAGGCTCCAGATCTGGATGGCGAGCCATAGCCCGAACCACAGTGACTGGTATTTGTAACCCGACTGGTTACTGTTACAAACGAACAGTGAAAGACTAAACGAACATTGAAAGACTAGACAAACATTGAATGGACTTTACAACAATTTTGGGGGGTATTTTTATTTTATTTTTCAAAGCGCGCAATTGTGTTCCCTTTTGTACATAATTACTCTTAAACTAAATTTGCAGAGTAAACGTTCATTATTTTTCTGCAACTCCTTGTGTATGCGTGTGTCCTTTGATGTTGTACACCCTAGGCTCCTCCGAATCTCGAATCTATCTGATCTAGCCCAATTGTCCCTTCAGTCCATCCTTTACTACATAAGGGCACAGATAGCACCATAAGTGCTACATAATGTATTCCTATGTGGTGTTTTTACTGCAAATGGCAAATAAACGGAATCTGAAATCTGAGGCTTCAAAGAGTCCAGATTATTATTATACTTTTAGAGTCCAAACTCTTGAACACAATGTTTCCAATGACTCGTTAATTTGTCGTAATATTGTTCTTGAATCGTTCTCGTATTGATTTGTGTTTTACGTCATTGTGTAAAACTATATGTTTATAATTGTGTAACTGAGTTAGGCTTCCAAACTAGAACTCTCTGGAACTGCGTGAAAACTGAACAAAGAATCCTGAACATCAGCGGTGAGTGACCCAAACATAAACTTAACCTAAATCCATAAGTCCATCCTCTGCAAATGTTCCTAAAATGTGCCGTATCTACTTCCGGGTTTTTAGGGAACCTGTTTCTGTTGGACACTAACTGTCCAACAAGACCCTCCTGCATCCACAAGGAACAACTCTTAAAAAACCCAGTGGGAAAAAGTGAGAAACCTTGGAGGAGAACTAGGGAAACCCACAGGGAGGGAGACCCATATGAGAAAGGGATCCGCTCCTCCGGACGGACAGGCTAATGATCTAGGACCTAAGCTAGCTACAGAACATGGACCAGTGGACGCTGAACGTGGACAGGTCCGGTGCAGGACTGAAGCACTCCCAGGCGGGTCGGGCGGGGCAGTCCGCAGGTGTAGATGGAGGAGGCCAGGCTCAGAGATCCCGTCATCGTACCATGAAACAGACAATGGGACGACGGGTGAATAGCAATGAACAAACTACAGTCAGAATCCTAAAAGTGCTAAACAGATAAAGTAGGAAGGAGGAGAGGATAGTGCTCAAGTTACCATACTTCTCCAGCAGGGGGCTCCCTATGCAGCTTGACTGACAGTCTGAGGAGTTTAGCCTTCCCTGAGTCTTACCTTCCTAACCATATGCTAAACTAAAGAGGACTGTTTTAAACCTAGCCTTGAATAAAGAGAGCGTATCTGAAAGGAGGCGAGACAGCAGCAGCCACGGCTAGGCTAGCCCAGGCTACAGCACCAAGACTCATGGATTGCACACCAGGTGTGCAAACCGCTCCAGGCAAACCTAATTATATATTATATCATATATTTTATATATATTATATAAAATACATAACATAACATACAGTATAATATATAACACAATAAGATAAGATAAGAATTCCTTTATTCGTCCCACAGTGGGGAAATTTCAATAAAAAAATAAAAATGTAACAATAACGTGACTATACTCCCGTGGCAGATGCCAATAACCAAAAGCTCAATGTCTCTGCAACAAACCTGCCTCTTTACTGTACAGTGTTTTGGCTTGCAGTAGTCCGTATTCACAAACACAGCCAGACCCCCGCCTCTCCTCTTCCCACTCGCGGCTGTCCGGTCCGCCCGGATCATGTGAAATCCATCTATTTCCACATTAGAGTCCGGATTATCAGAGGTCAGCCATGTCTCTGTGTATATGGGAAGTCAGTGGGAACAGTGTTTCTCAGAGTCGTGGGAACAGTGTTTCTCAGAGTCAGTGGGAACAGTGTTTCTCAGAGTCAGTGGGAACAGTCAGTGGAACAGTGTTTCCCAGAGTCAGTGGGAACAGTGTTTCTCAGAGTCAGTGGGAACAGTGTTTCTCAGAGTCAGTGGGAACAGTGTTTCTCAGAGTCAGTGGGAACAGTGTTTTCCAGAGTCAGTGGGAACAGTGTTTCTCAGAGTCAGTGGGAACAGTCAGTGGGAACAGTGTTTCTCAGAGTCAGTGGGAACAGTGTTTTCCAGAGTCAGTGGGAACAGTGTTTCCCAGAGTCAGTGGGAACAGTGTTTCTCAGTCAGTGGGAACAGTGTTTCTCAGAGTCAGTGGGAACAGTGTTTCTCAGAATCAGTGGGAACAGTGTTTCTCAGAGTCAGTGGAAGAGTGTTTCTCAGAGTCAGTGGGAACCGTGCTTCCCAGAGTCAGTGGGAACAGTGTTTCTCAGAGTCAGTGGGAACAGTGTTTCTCAGAGTCAGTGGGAACAGTGTTTCTCAGAGTCGTGGGAACAGTGTTTCTCAGAGTCAGTGGGAACAGTCCGTGGAACAGTGTTTCCCAGAGTCAGTGGGAACAGTGTTTCTCAGAGTCAGTGGGAACAGTCAGTGGGAACCGTGTTTCTCAGAGTCAGTGGGAACAGTGTTTTCCAGAGTCAGTGGGAACAGTGTTTCTCAGAGTCAGGTCAGTGGGAACAGTGTTTCTCAGAGTCAGTGGGAACAGTGTTTCTCAGAGTCGTGGGAACAGTGTTTCTCAGAGTCAGTG